ACTAGGTATGCAGATTAAAGCACCGTTTCAGTGACAGGTGCCACCACAGTGTTTGTTTCATTCTCTCTCACCCCTCTTTCCCAGCGTATTTTTAAATTACCCCTCTTCTCCCCTACACTTGGGCTTTCCCTCCGTGTGTGTGGCTCTGCCTCTCGTGGCAGACATTTTGTGAGTGACTCTTCCTCCCCGGCAGCCACTTTGTGGTTGCACCCACCACCTTGTGTCAGAATCCCAAAGGAGCTCACAGGCTCCCAAAGGTTGGGGACTCCTATTATTACAGTATACAGAAATGTCACATTCACATAGCAGAACAGGCAAGGATGCTATTAACACTTTTGGACAACTGCAAAAAGACCCCAGCTTCAGATACTGATCAGGGATACATTCTACCCTGCACAATCCATTTGTCCAAACAGTCATTTATTCCAACATTGACATTAAGAACTTTACTTTCTAGACTGCCAGTCCAGTGGAGGTTATTCTGTTTCTGCCCCTCTTTGCTCGCTCCCATACTGAGATAGAAAGAGTAACTATTCCTTAATATAGTAGTTTTCTAACTGTGATCTGGGGAACTTTGCAGCCACACTGAGCTCTTCAGCATATCCTTGGGAGTGCTTGCAGTTCACACAATAGTGAGACCAACCAAGCCTGGCCAGTGCTCCACTTCAACGGGTTTTAACGATTGCTATAAATTTTACATGGATGCTAAGAATTTTTAACTGGTATTGTGATTAGGTAAAGGTAAAGGTTCCCTTGCTCGAAAGCCAGTCGAGTCCGACTCTAGGGATGCGGTGCTCATCTCCGTTTCAAAGCCGAAGAGCCAGCGCTGTTCGAAGACGTTTCCGTGGTCATGTGGCCAGCATGACTAAACACCAAGGCCCACGGAACACTGTTACCTTCCCACCGAAGTGGTACCTATTTATCTACTTGCAATTCCTTGCTTTCGAACTGCTAGGTTGGCAGGAGCTGGAACTAGAGACGGGAGCTCACTCCGTCATGCGGCAACTCGGGTCTCGAACTGCTGAACTGCTGAACTACTGACCTTCCACAGCATGCAGTTCAGCGTCTTAACCGATTACCATATTGTGTTTTTTCTTGACACCGTTCTTGGTGCTGCTTGCTAAGGGCATGAGCTAATGCAATAAAGCTGAGGATGAGGATGATAACGTCCTGGGGTTTTGTCGGGAGGTGACCCCCTACAGAAAAAGGCTCTGAAGGCAGAAAGTTGAAAAAACCCAGCCGTAGGAGACCCTGCACTGAACTAAACAACTTACAATGCACCCCTAAGCACTTTCGCCTATTAAGCACTGCTTAGGATTGCAGCATTAGAAGGTGTTGCCTTAGAAAAAGGTATTCTACCCAAGAGGACAGAATCAATCATGTTCCATTGCATATGTAGCCACATTCCAAGCATCAGGGGGGAGGGGGGGTTACTACTGCATCATATGGCAGTATTGTTTTATTTGAAAAATGACTTTATACACATGAATGTGCATACGCAACATACACAATACTACCTATCTGACGGAGGGAGCTTTGACTCTCAAAAGCTTATATCCCACACAATCTTGTTGGTCTCTAAAGTGTTACTGGACTCAAATCTAGCTGCTCTAGTGCAGGCCCCCCAAAACTAGTACTACCCGTGTTTCTCAAAATTAGGTGATGATAACTGACCTTCAAATATTCTTCATATCGAATAAAGAGATCATGGATACAAGTGCTGGCAGAATCCAAAAAAAGGACAGGGCTATGGATGATCATGTTTGTGTCTCTTGCTTTGAATTCCACTCTTTAAAGACCAAGGAGCTGACTGTGCCTATCCCGCAACAACTGATGGAGGGGAAGCTGGTTCCCAGCATGCTCAAACAAGTCCTCCCAACAACCTACAGTTGCCCTAAGAGGAAGACGCTCTTCGAGCTATCAAGAAATGACCAGATGCTGGCGTATATAATTTTAAAACTAAAATTACATAGTGTCACTGTGACGAAAGATATAATACCAAATGAACTCCATGTACACCCTACTGAAGGAGGCGGTAAGTCAAACAGTAGTTCCAATTGCAGACAGTCACTGAGGATGTGCCCTTTCTAACGCATCCCTCTATCCCTATGGCTTCACTGCACACATCAACACCAGGAGGTTCTTCCGGGAGAACATGAAAATTGGCCCTCTTGAATGGCCAGCTTTAAAACTTGTGAGGTATTTTCCTTGAGGATATTACTACGAGGTCAATTAGCGTTCACAGGTATCGGCCCTGGAACATGAGGAGGAGATTAATGGAGGGAAAAGGGGGAAAGGGTTTTACCCAGCAAACCTAGAAAATAAAGCACATTATGGGAAAACATCAGAATTCATTTAGAGTAAAGACACAAACTGGAGAATGTTTCTTTCGCTTCTCGCTCTCTAGATCGCAACTGATGCGGAAGCACCTCAAAAGCTACTTCCTTGGTGCCACCAAGTGGCGATAATGTGTATCACCTCTTTACATTCATTTACATCCTTTACTTGCATTGCAAACTGGACTGCCCCCCCCCCCCATTTTAAAGTTATCAGTGCTTGAAAAATTATTCCATTCTTCCTCAGGAAAAAGCCATAAAGCAGCAGTATAAGGAGAAAGAAGAGATTCTTACCCATCTTTAGAGAGGAGGGGGGGAGAGGGAGGGAATAAAAATATAAGAACGTAAGAACATAAGAGACGCCAATGTTGGATCAGGCCAAAGGCCGATCCAGTCCAACACTCTGTCACACAGTGGCCAAGGAACGTTGGAGGAACGTTAGAGGAACGTTGAAAACCATTTTTCACCTGAAACAAGAACACTAGAAATGTTATGGAGAAATACATCTGAAGACTCATAGGACAAACCTAGAATGGGGGGTGGGAGATCCTAATTACTATTAATGCAAGTTGTAGCTTCATATTATTCATACAAGATGTACAGTGAAATTTCCCTTGCACCAATGTTGCATTTAATGTACTCCAGTCCAACAGCAGTGTTCTGGACAGTTCATTCATAAATTCTGCAGCCCAAAGTCTTATGCACACATGTTGCACCTACTTCCCTATATGGGTCTTCTCATCTTGAAGTATTTTTATGTGGGCTTAGAGCAACATCAAGAGGGCACAGACCTAGAGATTCTGATGAGAGGTGGAGGAGGAAGCTCTCATGGACATGCCACTGAAGCAGCATCCAAACAGTCCTTCACAGGCAAGCCTGCAAAGGGAAAGCACCTCTCCTCTTTTGATCAGGTGTCCATCTTTCTCCCGCAACTCAAACTCAAACTCTGGTGTAGTGGTTAAGTGCGTGGACTCTAATCTGGGAGAACCGGGTTTGATTCCCCACTCCTCCACTTGCACCTGGCTGGATGACCTTGGGCAAGCCATAACTCTGGCACAGCTGTTCTTGAAAAAGAGCAGTTTCTGTCAAGAGTTCTCTCAGCCCCACCTACCTCACAGGGTGTCTGTTGTGGGGAGGGGAAGGGAAAGGAGTTTGTAAGCCGCTCTGAGACACCTTTGGGTAGTGAAGGGCGGAGTATAAATCCAATCTCTCTCTCTCTCTCTCTCTCTCTCTCTCTCTCTCTCTCTCTCTCTCGTTTTTCATAGCAAAACCTGCTGTGAACCAGTTTCATTGGTTGGTACCATGAGAGGACAGCAGTCCACTCTTACCTGCCCCCATCCCAAATCTCCCCAAACCAGTTTCCCAATAGCATAAAAAGAAAATATTTTTTAAAAGGAGGGGATGAATGCATGTTTAATTGAAGAAATATATTACAGAATTGTAACCACTGTAAAAGAAAGCTTCCTTGAAATGTGGAGGAGGGGCAAAACACGCTACTGACCGAGCACTAGATTCACAGGCCAACAGATCTGTCCAATAAGGAGATAGCCAGGAGGTGCTACAGGAACTCCGGATCTGTGTGTGTGTCGATATGCACCCTTAGGGATCACACTGCCATAGGAACTTCACAGCAATGTCAATAATTAGTTCCACTGACAGCTATTGGCTATGGCAGCTAAACAGAACCTCTATGTAGACAGCCAGGACACCTCTGAATATCAGATGCTAGGGACAAGCATAGCAGGGCATGTCCCATCTTCTGTGAACTGTTTGTGAACCCCAGCAGCATCTCGCTGGCTACTGCAGAAGACAGAATGGGATGAGTCCTTGGTTCAACCCAGCAGGGTTTCTTTTATGTATTTTAGTGGTGTTTCCTCCCTTGCGTCAAACCCAATCATCTGAGTGTGCTCTTAAACAATAATTAAACTGAAGGCATACATAAACCTATAGCAAGCCACTAAGCAGAGTTGAGGAGGCTGTTGGACTACCTATGACGGGAAGAACCAACAAAAATATTCTAGAATACCTGAATGCCTGAATTTCTCCAAGCTCACCTACCGCAGCACAAGTCCCGTTGTGGGGAATGAGCTATGCAGCCTGGGTGGTCTTGGGGGATCCGGGGCTGCTGACCTGGGATGGGTGGGCCCTCGACTTCCACGCCCCACCCCAAGGAGGGATGAATAAGCAGCCAAGCCCATACCCACCCATCCCTTCCATGGCTGGGGCAGCAGACAACGGGCACAAGCACCCACTCACCCCCTCAGGGGCTCAGGCAGCAACCAGTCGCCTCGGCAGTCATATCATGTGCTTGAGGGAAACGGGCAGCAGCCAGCGGGCCAGATCAGCAGCTGCCTCTGCCATAGGCCTGCCCGCCTCCTAAGGGGCTCAGGCTGCCCACCCACTTTGCTTGAGCTTGGGTGACCCGGGCACGGGGGAGGCGTGGCAGTGAATCTGTGGCCCTGTCCTGGACTTCTGCTCAGGGCCCCAGAACCACTAAGAGCACCCCTGTTCGTAGTACAATGGGTAATTTCAGTAGAGGGAAGGGCACATATTTGTATGGGGGGGGGGAATACTGAATGCTCCGCTGAGTTGCTTACAGTTCTCAATATAAATGTTTTGAGTTAATTGAGAACAGATTTTGGATCCAGCCATAATTAAACCTACCTTGAACGCCTTCCAAGAGCAGATCAACCCCTTTCCTATAAAAGCCATAAGCTGCTTCATAATCTTCCTCTTCCTCCTTCTTCAAAGCCAATTTGATCAGCTCCCCAGCTTTCTCCAGGTAGTCTCGTCTGCCAAGTTTGGCCTTCAAGCTCCCAGTAAACAGGCCACGGCTCTCCCTCTCACCATCGGGTTTGCTCCACTCATGATCCGAAGCAGCGGAGGCTTGTGCTGAAGGGTCAGCAGCACAGCTGAGGGCAAAAGATGGCGAATTCTGATTAGATGCCATTCCATCATCTAACTCAGCAAGAGAGTCCACATCAACAGTCAAAGAGACCAGGTCGCTGTCGCTGGAGAAACCTGTGGCACAACAGAAAGATGGGCTCAGAAAGGACCTGGTAGATCAGAGGGTCCAACCCGCTCCTCCAAAGCAGTGCAAATTATAACTAAAGCATCTCAGCAGCAGTGCTTATCTGAAGTACAGGCCACTTAAGAAGTAGGCAGCCTTTAATTAGGAGAACTAATGTGCCGTGTGACCAAGATGTGAACCAGTTCAGATCTTGTCTCTGCCATGAACTCGCTGCAGGGTCTTACGCCGGCCACTCTCTTTCCAATCCCACTTCTACAATGCAGGAGTGAATCACTGACCTACTTCACAGAGTGACTCTACTTAAAGGACTGTCTCTTTCATTATGAGCCCATGAAACACGCCAGATTCTCTCTGTCTCTGGCTGAGCCCACCCCCACAGGTGTACAGTTCACCGCCACTACTTGGGCCCGGTCGTTCTTGGAGGCAGGCTGCAGCTTGATGCAATGCCCTTCTGGAGGATGAGTGGGAGGCGCCTTCATTAGCCTTCTTCCAGAAAAAGATACAAAGCGGTCTTTTTTCGACAAGTGTCTAGCAGATAATTAATCCGGGTTACAAATGTTGAGCCCTAGCCTGGATGACCCAGGGTAGCCTGCTCTCATCAGATCTCGGAAGCCGAAGCAGGGTCAGCCCTGCTTGGTACTTCGATGGGAGACCACAGAGGAAGTCCAGGGCCACGAAGCGGAGGCAGGCAACGGCAAACTACCTCTGAATGTCTCTTGCCCTGAAAAACCCATAAAGGGTTGCCCTATGTTGGCTGCCACTTGATGGCCCTTTACACACCCACAGATACGATGGAAGAGAGGTAATTGTTGACTGTTTGGCTTTAATTGTTCACTGCCTTTGTTAAGCTATCTTGAAGAACCCTGGTTGGTGGGAAAGGCAGCACAGAAACAGTCTAATAAATAAATAAATTTTAAAATACCCCGATCCCATTTTTTCCCATTATTAATGCTCAAAAAGGCTTATACTGTTTTTTAAAAATACCATAAAAATCACCTCAAAATCACTGAGATAACGTGCCCACTTAGAACACTCTATGTATAGGCCACCTGTTACCACTTTGATTCTAGAAATGCAAGAGTAACGACCACTGGTCAGTATATTTAGGCTTTTGGTGGGACACCCTATTTGGGAGCACATCCAACCTGTGCTAAATAGCACACCGGATTCGTTTCAAGGTGCTGGTTCTTACCTTTAAAGCCCTTTATGGCCAGGGACCTACATACCTGAGGGACTGCCTTTCCCCGCATGTACCCCAAAGAGCGCTGCGATCAGGGGCCCAGAATCGGCTGGCCCTCCTGAGTCTCAAGGAGGCCAGGCTAGCAACAACCAGGGCCAGGGCTTTCTCGGTGGTGGCTCCATTCTAGTGGAATGAGCTCCCAGAAGAGACCAGGACCCTACAGGACCTTTTGCAGTTCTGCAGGGCCTGTAAAACGGAGCTCTTCCACCAGGCTTTTGGAGCCGCCACCACTACTAACAACTGACAGCCTATGGTCGGAGAGCCCTGTTTCCCCTGGGATTTCAAACTACAGCCTGAGCTAACCGCCTAAGATAATCTAAGAAGATCAAGGAGCCGACTGCGAGATGAGAGAACTAAGCAACAACAACAACTGTGAAATCATTGATACTAGCACTTTATTATGTTTTATGGTGTTAGAATTGTTTACTTGTATTAATTGATGTTGTTTAATCTTTATTCTATACTACTGTAAATTTTATGCTGTTTTTATGTAAACTGCCCTGTGCCGGCCTCGGCCGGGAGGGGGGGTATACATTTAATCAATCATCAATCAGCTCGAAAAACCAGCTTTTATGTACCTGGCACCACGGGAGACATCTCATATTAAAAGAGGGATCCCGTATTATCATTATTAAATTAAGATAATGACAAGATTAGCAACCTCCCACACCACCACTCTTCAGCCTGATCAAGATCTACAGCCACATCAAAAGTTCTTCAAAACGCTGCTTACTGGATTGGCTCCCACTGATGGTCTCATCCTCGCAATGCTAAGTTTTCACGGACTGGCACCTGCCTGCAACGAACACACCTTCCACTCTCACTCCTGTCAGTCACAAGACTGGCTCTGTGGATGTGCTTACAGCCAAAATAAACTATTGTGTTCACAGTGCAACTCAGGTTTTCAACTTGCTGTAGACAGGGAATATGCAGGAATTGAGATTCAAATTGGGAGGAAAGAAATATTCAAGCACTGCCAAATTAATGATACATCATTCTTACCTCCACATTCTGATTGGCTAAGCGTTAGGTCGTCAATGCCACTGACATCTTTGCGGGCTTTTTTTAAAGGGGGGGGAGACACAGAAAGAGATTTAGTGAACTTTTTTGAAAGCACAGTACAAATTATCATCAAGTAAAATAAAAACAAGGTCAGTCCTGTTATATTGCTGTATCGTATACAGCCCTGACCTGGATAGCCCAGGCTAGCCTGATCTCGACAGATCTTGGAACCTAAGCAGGGTCGGCCCTGGCTAGGATTTGGATGGGAGACCTCCAAGGAAAACCAGGAGCATGACGCAGAGGCAGGCACAGTGGCAAACTACCTCTCAATGTCTCTTACTTTGAAAACCCTACAGATCACCATAAATCAGCTGTGACTTGACGGCACTTTCCACCACTATTGTATCTATCTACTATTAGCCGCCTGTAGCCGCAATCTGCAGGTATCAAAATCTGTGGATCAGGGCCACATGGAGGCTAAACAGATCTTCCTGCACACTTCGGGGACTCGCTAAATATGCAGGGGGAAAAAATTAAAAATTCATCAGGGATGTTAAATCTCCTGGAAAGTACAGTAGTGGTTTCTGCGCAAGGGCAGAGAAAGCACTTACCTCCGGCAGCAGTGGTGTCAGAAAGCCACACTGGGCTTGGTGGCAGTGGCAGCTACACAGCCCTGGGCTCTGCACTGGGCCTAGGAGCTGCACTGAGCATGCCACCGCTGGTGAAGCCCAGGAGATGTGCCAGGCATGCCGCCAGTGCAGCCTAGCCTGAGAGCCACGCTGGGCATGCTGCCGCTGTCAGTGCAGCCTGGGAGTTGCGCCAGACCCACAGGCAGCTGAGGCATAGGCCTGGAAGTCGCGCTAGGCACAGGCCCGGTGAGAAAGTGTAGAGGTGGCAGAATCCCCCTGCAAGTATCATGGGTCTACACTTATATAAATGTCATAAGACGGACAGGGTCCTACACAGAAATCAAGGGCTTGGGAAAGGCATTAATTTAAAGGAATGCATACTTTATAAGACAACCAAGCTTTCAATTTAAGAAACCCTGGCTTTGGCAGGAAAAAAACTTTCCCTATTTCAGATTAGATGGTTTCTTCAATGAGTAAAACTGTTTGTAAGCTACCCAGAGCTATGGGAAGGGGCAGTATAAATATTTTAAATGAAATTAAAATGTCCTACTCCAAAAGGCCAAGAGAATAACCTTGAACATCTGCAACCAATTTTGATTATATCTTGAGAAGCTGTTAATAACGCAGTTTATTTACCAGCAATGAAACCAAACCACTGGTCTCTGCAAATAGAGTCACCACACACAAAAAAACCCTTTAAAATTATGGAGGAACCTGGAAGCATCTCTTGTGCTTTTCTATGGCTCTCCTAAGTAAATGTCTAGGCCCAATCCAGGGCCCCAGCTATGATGCAAGAAGAGGCACACAGAACTTCTGTGAGGCTTCTCCCTCATCCACTTCAGGACAGTGAAGCCACGCTAAATGTTCATATACTGAGCAGTCTCCTTCATTAGAGTGGATGGGGAAGCCTGCGAGGGCAGGGATCTCCACAAGGTTGAACTGGAACGCAAGATGTTACTGGGTCAGGGCATTAGAGATCACAACGACAGTCTCCCCCATTCCGCAAACATCTAGCTGAACCTCCTCTGCCAGTATTATCAAGCAGACTTTCCTCGGTGACTCTAAAGCCTTGCTGTGGCAGAAAATTTTCAAACCCAGAAGCATCAACTAAGGTGAATCTTGCAATATAAGCTTCAGAAAAAAACATTTCAGTAAAGAAAGACATCCCTCCTTACAAATGAGCATGTGCACTTTTATATATCTACCTACAGGTTTAAAACAAAGAGCTATAAAAGAAGTTGAAAGGATTCACATAACAGGCTTCATCCCATATTGAGGAACAACAAAAGGATCTGAAGCGCTTTACATGCGACAGTAATAAAGGATTGGGAGAAAATTTATCTGCTTGTCATGGACAGCTGGAATGCTAATGCTGCCATCTAGAGGAGTTTTTAAAAAACATTTGAAATTTCTTAAGCACTCCGTACATCAGTCAACTCCATTCCTCAATGAGGCAGTTTACAAGAAGTAACAAGGCAGAAACCAACCTTCAGAACTGCAGACAGACACACTGTCAGTCAAGGAATCCCACAGAGGTTCTGCAGGTCCAATCAATTCAGACCCATCGTGCACCTCTCCATCCTTCAGAGAGAGAAACGAATTAGTACCTATCTCACATTTACTATGATTTATTGCCATTTTTTATCTCAGTGATGGCGGGAAAGCCACAGAATGTGCCCCAGCAACTGAAACTCAGCCAAGCTTGATTTAAGGTTTTAGAGTCTCCCAGTTCAAAGCTAACTGAAGGAATACAATGTTGCATTTTTAAATATTAGATGCTTTGCATCTACATATCCTAATAGTTTAGACTGCAAGCCAGGACCCTTCTCCGTAAGTCTGCAGGGTGTTATGAATACTCAAGGTGCAGTATGTCTAAATAAGGTCCAACTTAAATATAGTTTTACGTACTGCAGTATAAATAAGGTTACTTACAATTTCACATAAAAAATAAAGCCTTGTTTTGATTTGCATCTTTGTCTGACCAAGATCCACTGCATGCAGACAGAATCTGGCAATTATGGGTGTTTGAATCTCAAAGGAATAAGCAAGCATTACAAAAACATGGTCCTTCCTTTCAAGCCCTTTGACCTGTTGCAATCTCCTCCTCTTTGCTCTTCTGCTGTTGCACCATGTCCCCCTTGTTTCTTTGGCCCGTCTATGTAACTCTGCAGGGTGTCTTGGACACGCAAGGTGCAGTATGTATAAAACACCAAAATCAGTGACCTTGTCATTCTGATGCCACTCCTTAAATCCATTCCTCTCTCCTCTCATATCAAACACAAACCTCTCACCTTAGTTTCAAAATATTTCATTACTTCCTCCACACACCCATTAGTTCTCTCTCCACTCTCATATCCAGATGCATCCCACATTTGTTCCTCCAGATCCGCTGCATTCAGCTGTCTGAAATCTCCAGCTCCTTCAGACAGGCCTGCCTCTTTCCCCTTGCCATCCCTGATGTTGCAACTGCCTCCCTGAACACCAATGCAATGCCACTTCTCTCCCTTTCTGACAATCGCACCCCCAAATCTAACTCTTCCACGGAGCCTTTCCTACTGAAACGAAACCTAAGGATGTGAAACTGGAACGAACAGTTTATATCTCCAGTGGCTTTACATTTTCCTTTCCCCGTATATACCCCAAAGAGCACTACGGTATGGGGGACAACATCGCCTAGTGATTCCAGGCCCCAAGGAGGCCTGGCTTGCTGCAACCAGGGCCAGGGCCTACTCAGTGGTGGCTCCTACCTGGTGGAATGAGCTCCCGGAGGAGATCAGGGTCCTGCGGGACCTTGTACAGTTCCACAGGGCCTGCAAGACGGAGCTCTTCCGCCAGGCTTTCGATTAGGTGCCGCCACTACCACCATCACCAACGAACCCAGTTGATAACTGGGAACGGAGTGGCCCTAGGATGATTGCATCTCAGTGGCGGGGTAGATCGGTAACATCTACTGGACACCATCTTGTTTTAATTTAAGAGCAACAGTACTGAGCACTTTATGAAATTTTGATATTTATTCAATTTTATCTTGTTTTACTTGGTTTTATGTATTGGCACATGGTGCCCTTGCTTGTTAGCCGCTCTGAGCCCATTCGTGGGGAGGGCGGGGTAGAAATTTAAATAAATAAATAATAAATAAAATAAATAAATTCTTCCCCTCTTAATCCACACCTCTGTCTTCCTGCCCTCTTGGTTGCCCCTCCTCTGTCAATTTTTTATTGTAAGCTCCTCAGGGCAGAGACCTGTCTACACGGATTCTGTGAAGTGCAATTCATATTGATAGCATTATCATCATTGTGCTCAAGGAGGTGCTATTTGAAAGCTTGCTCCTGGAAGGGGAATCACACTCAAGAGTAGTAGATGCTTCTGATTTTGAGTAACTAAAGACAACTGCAGTGAAAGCGTCATATCTAGAAACCAGTTGCCTGTACATTCCAAAGTGGCGCCATGGGCTCACAATGAAATAGGAGAGGTTTCCACTGATGTACCTAATGGCTAGATTAGCATGGTCCTTCTACAGAGGCCAACCGTGAGAAACAATGGTGTAACATACAGGATTTGCCATGTAAGGTATGGAGTTGCCCTCAGGATTTCTCCAAACCCATGCTGACAGTGACACTCATCCCAATTTTATGACGAATGGAACATCACTGTCCTGCAACAACATGCTCTTTTACTAAACCCTTCCACTGATTCATATCCTATGGAGGAGCTCTCCATTAACCCCACGACACTCTACTTCAGAGGTGTCAAACTCATTTGTTACGAGGGCCAGATCTGACTTAAACTCACTTTGTGAGGTAGGGCCATGTGTGCCATAAAATGTAAAACCACTTACTGGATATATAAGCTGTATAAAGAACAGCAGCTGGTAAGCTATGAGTTGTTGTATCCCCACTGCAAGGCCCCATGGGCTGGGAGGGGGGTGCAAAGGAAAACCCACGTGGGCGGACTGGAGAGCCAGCAGTGCAGCCTTGGGCAGAAGCTCCCATGCTGCTTGACTGCTGCAGACAAGATTGTTCCGCCATGCTGAGGCCACAATCGGAGTGGCTCCCCCCGCTCCCCCACACACACAAGCAGTCTCCTTCCCCCCCCCCACCAGGCCTTATATTTGACACCCCTGCTGTACCTGTTTAACATGGTATGCATTTCCCCAAATCACTGACAGGGTACAGGACACAGAAATGCATAATTATAGTTGGGACGCAATGTTCCCTCTAAGCTATGGAGTCTTGTGAGCAACAATTCTACTTTGTGAGCTACTGGCATTAAAGTTGTGAGCCAGAGATGCGGCTACCGCATAAATTAGTTTGCTTTGGAGCCATCCTTCCTGAGCTAAGACAGAAATGTGTGAGCCAGAGGCTAAAAACTGTGAGCTAGCTCACACTAACTCAGCTTAGAGGGAACACTGGTTGCGAGGTGCTCTAGAAGTCTTTTAAGGAGTACTCAGAGTTAACTCCGGTATGCTGTTCATTAGCAATCTCTTTTCAGACTGGGAACTGAGGCCGAAGAGGCAGCCAGTCAGTCTGCTGTATCAACATAAACCAAAAACCCAGTAGCACCTTAAAGACTTAACAACATTTATTTCAATATGAACTTTCATGAGTCATAATTCACTTCTTCCAATAGCCCTGGGCAAGCCTTAATAGTCCACAGATGAACAGGGAAAAGACTTAATTTTTTCAACGTTTTTGCCAACAATTTGCAGACTTCTAGAGCAGTGGAATTCAAAACAAGCAAACTCATCCTGCCAAGTGGGATCATTTAAGAGATGAGAAAGGAGCTCAGATGTATTAACCTTAAAGAAATCTTCAAGCTGCTTGCTATTATAGAGTGCTGGGATATTGGCAGAAAACTGCAGCAAATCTTCTGCACATTGCCTTCTTTCTTCAATCACACTTTCATCAAATCGCCCTGAAAGGAAGAAGATAAACGTTTTGAGAAATAATTAAGCCTCTTTTTCTTGCAGGGGGAAAAAATGCCCTAATGAGGAGAAATCCCTGCATATATTAACTCAAGCAACCGCTTCAGGAGACAGCAACAAGCTTCACACTTCCCACTCTCAACTGTCCCCAGAGTCCTGCAGTCGTCTCAAACAATGCAATCTGGCAGCCGCAAGAAGAATCCAAGACTCCATCATGTCTTGAAGGATATGAGAGGCAATGCTCCTAATTAGCCAAGGGACACAAGCATATGTCCATCAATGCAAAAACTAAAATGAAATAAGGCTTGTTGTCACATTCATAATGTCCATGTTGTACTCGGCTAACTCTGTAGAGAAGTGAGCACCAGCCACTCTGTTAACACTAAAGTCAGACTCTCATATATTGTATGAAAAGGTCCCCTATACACGCAAGAAGATTGTTTCCCCTGTTTGTGTAACAATCCTGCTTTCTGGATGCTCTACCATTTGTTCAAGGATACAAAGGGAAGCCTCAGCACAAATTTACACAATCAGCAGAATTACACAGTCCAGGTCCTGTGAGACTGTACCGCTTCAGGTTGCAGATAGATGACTACATTCTGAATATTTCTTAGCCAAAAAAAGGGGAAACTCCCTACACATAGAAAGCTATTGCTAATATTATAGGAACCAATATTTTATTTTAGGTGGGAGAAGTACTCAGAATGCAATCATTTTCCCAGAATGCTCTGATGGGGTGAAGTCCAGCAACGTCTACATGTACAGGTCAAGTCTAGCAGCACACACAGCTGCAGTTACCTAAAGACATCACAAGTGGTATCCTCCCAAAGTTTTACCAACAAACTGAACTTCAAAGACTCCCTCCTCATCTTGTGGAAAAGGACACCTAGCCTACTACTTATTCTTATATACGTCAGTCATTTAAATAGCCACACAGGGGCCAGGAATCTCCCCAACCCAGCCTCCAAGACAGTTCAAAATCAGTCTCCCCTTTCCAATGTCTCCTGTTCCATTAAAAATTCTACTCTAAGCCTCTATGCCCAAGTTTTGACTTGGGAAATAAACTTAGCAGAAAAGAATCTGGACAAAATGTGTATCTAGTATAACAAGAGTCAGATTCTCACAAGGCATAAAGCAGAAAACCATAGCAATCGCTACAGGAAACTCACAATGTAGTATCTTACCATAGCTAATCCCTCACCCAAGGGGAGTAGCTGCTCCTTGACCTGGCAAGCAGATTACTAGCCTCACCTCTCATGACAACTGGTATCACATTGGATTTCACTCAAATATAGAGTGTTGTGCTCACAGGTTCACAATATGAGGAAGGCCTGTGAATACATACACATGGAAACTTATTTATATTGTACCCTTCCTCTCAGAGTTCATGACAGCATACACAACTCCATCTTACATGGGGTCCTTTCAACAACCCTATGAGGTAGCTAAGGCTGTGAGTGTGTGTGTGAGAGAGAGAGAGAGACAGACAGACAGACAGAGACTGGCCAAAGGTCACATGAGTGAATTTCACAACTTAGATGGAACAGCTGTATTCAAGTCCAGTAGCACCTTAGAGACCAAAAAGATTTTCAGGGTATAAGCTTTTGAGAGTCAAAGCTTATACCCCCAAAATCTTGTTATTCTCAAACCTAGCTGTTCTACTCAAATCTACCCTGTTTCCCCGAAAATAAGACCTACCCAAAAAATAAGCCCTAGCAGGATTTCTATGCATTTGTGGTATAAGCCCTAATGCGTCTTCTTGAGAAAAAATAAATATAAAGTATCTTATTTTCGGGAAAACACGGTAGCTGTTCTACTGCAGACCAACATGGCTACCCTCTGAAAATGACTTAATGGGAATCTGAACCTGGGTCTCTCCTCAGTCCCCACTCTAGCTATTTCATCACACTGGCTCTCACCTTTTCATCCATTTTGTGATAGGAAGACAAGCACCTGATCAGTCATAAGATCAAATTGTTGACAAGAGCTGTCTACGGAGGCTACATTACACTGGTCTTGAACCAACTACATTGGCTACCAGTGAATTTCCAGTCACAGTTCAAGCACTAACACTAATCTTCGAACAGGCTAGTTCCTCACCAACATATTCTCACCCCATTCTCTTTGAAGCTTCAAAGGAGACGTTAATTTTTGCCCCAACAGGTTCAGTGGGTAACAACAAGATATAAGGCCTTCTCTGCTGCGATACTGAAGCTCTAGAGTTCCTTGGGAAGTTCATACGGCTACCTCACCTGTTATTTAGGAAAACTGGCAAGACTGAGCTTTTAACCAGAACTTTTAACCTTCAGATGAAGAAACAAGTGAATTGTTCTGAGGTACAAACTAAAAATCTTGGCTGCCATTTTGCATTTAGGGTTTAGGACTATCTTATAATCACGTTTTGCTGGAAAGAAGGATATCAATTTAATATAGAAATAAAGTACTTTTTCAAGAGTTGGGCTGGTAAGCCGGATCCCAATCAAAGACATTTTAATAGCTTTGCTCTGTTGTCTTTGACTAAATTCCCATGTTCCATGCCAACATATTATTTTCCAACGAGAAAGGTGGAAAAGTCCAAACTAAGTTCAGGAAAGCAGCATGACATTTTCCTGTCAAAGGGCTTCACTTTATAATGTACCGGTCTGTCTTGTAACTGCACTGAACAAAAAAACTACAGACTTTCAAATTTTAAACACTGTGGGAACAGAAATATAAAACAGTGACAAAACAAAAGAAGAATTCTTAGCATTCTGTCCATTGTATGGAGGGATCACACAGATATTTCTAAACCTGATTCAGTGGCTCTGAGTAGCTGAAGAGGTTGAGCAGAAGGACAAACAGGTCTCCTTACTGCCTAGATTTTTCTACCATTCCCAAAATATAAGAGCAGTCCACAAAGGTCCATCTACTCTATTTCCCACAGTGGCCAGTCAAATCAGTAGAACAAGAGGAAGAGGCAGCAGTGCCTCCATCATTGGCCCTGAGCCACTGGTATCCAGGACCATTGTGCTCTAGAAGATGGAGATTACCTTCAGCCATAATGGCCAACATTTGTGGACAGACCTATCCTTCACAGCTGATCTCCTTTTAAAGCCATCAAATTACAGGAGGTGAATCCCATAACTTAATACTTTTTCACCTCCCCTGAATCTACTGCCAACCAATCAGTTTCACTGGTGATAGTTTCAGAGGATAGCCATGTTGGTCTGCTGTAGAACAGTGCTCCAAACACATAGGACGTTAACTGTGTATATTTCAATATGTAAAGCTACGTACAAGGTTCACAATATGGCAAGTTTCATAACCCTCATGATGGTCCTTGTCAACAAGAAAGGATCAGATACGCGTAGTGTAAAGTTGGGTTTCCCAACTGACAATGACAAATCTGCAACACACATGGGGAGGATGTTCTTGGATGGGGAATTCCAGGATGGCAGAGGTGGGGCTAATGTTGGCATGGGTAGTCCTTTGAAGCTAGAACTGAGTTAGTAAAAACAAACACAGCTACCTGCCAAAAAGTACAACTGGTGCAGCAGTAATCACGAACAGTATTGCCATCTACCTCACAGCCTATTTAAAGGGGCAGAGGTTTGTACAACAGGTAAATAACCAGGGCAAGCTGAAAGAGACATTCTGGCTGAAACTGGTAAAGAAAAGCAGTATATCCAGTCTGAATGAGGCCCCAGAGAGTGGGGTGAAGAGGAAATCATGAATGTAACCACTACAATTTCAGTCCATGGATAACAAGGAAACACATTACACGGCCACACACAGTTCTGACACTACATTGCCTAGTATAGAAAACACAAAGGTATCCTAAACATCTCTATTCTGAAAATGTTCATTGATCTTCTCTCTCTCTGCAGCGGTATCTTTGGAGTGCAATACAATACTATGGCTTGTGTGATATCTACTACTGCCACCAAGGTCCACATGAGCTGGCAAAATAAGTTAATATGGCTGACCTACCAGATGCAATTTACTTGAGCTTAGTGCAGAACCAAATTCAGGGGGGGAAAAGACGGAAAACAGCATCCCTGTGTTCAGTTCTGTCCCTCATCTCCGTAATATCTAGTAATATCCTGCATCCTATCATCAACACACCACAAACAAGAGTCTTCTCACTAGCTCTTATTTCCCCAGAAAACCTGGGGCGCCCGGTCACAGAATGGACTTGGAAATGACAGCCAGACTCCAAAGGGCTGAAACGGTGGCTTCCAAACGTGCAGCAAATGTTGGAACCCTGTCCTATTTCTAACCAAGCCCCTGCTCTTCCCCCACATGCTACCCAACAAGCCACTCCTGAAATCCAGAGGATCTTCAAGAACAGCCTTTGATATAGTGCAGAATTGAAATCCGGACAGGAAATCAGGGAAGCCCATGGGCATGAACAAAAGGAAACTGGCTTGGTAGAGGGCAATTAGCAAAAATGGTAGAGCACCTGCACAACATGTAAGTGATAACAGGATCAATGCCCACAATCTCCAGCAGGTTTAGAGGAGAGGCCACCATTCAGAGGTATAGGCCTGCTGTACATGTCCCAGTTGCCACCCCTGGAATCCCCAGTAAAAGGATATCAGGTAGCATGAAGTACCCGGCAGTGAGAGTTGGAATGGGGAATGGTTATTCACCATCTGATTGTCTTTAATGTACTACTAATGTTTTAACTTGTTTCATCTGTGGCTGTACATCACCCTGAGCCCTGCACTAGCAGGGTTGGGGTAATAATAATAATAATAATAATAATAATAATAATAATAATAATAATAATAATAATAATAATAAGGGATAGACCTTTCCCTGTCGTGAAGAGCTGCTATCAGTCTTAATAGACAATACTCAGCAAAATTGTCAAGTGCTTGTATGTCTTCTCAGCTCTCCCCGCTCTCAGCTGCCATTTCTGACCCCCTAAAAATTTATTCCCAGGGTCATGGGACCCGCATGCAGTAACAGTCCTGTGGGTCAGGGGGCTGCAGGGGCTGCAGGGGGATTGGGGGAAGTCACTCCCTCCTGCCTCTTCCATGAGTGGAGTTCCACTGACTGAAGAAGCAGAAGGCAGAAATTTCATCCCTTTCCCTCTCCCCACTGCACCCCCCATCCTGACCCACATAGCAGTTACCCTGTACAGGTCCTATGACCCCCCCAAGAACAAACTTTCCCAGGGTCAGGAACAGCTGCTGCAGGGAGGGGATGGCCAAGATGATCAGGGATTCTCACACAGACTTTGCAAGGTCCATGCACTGGATCCAAGCGTGTGATTCTGAGTTAGGCATTGTTAGGGGGGGAAATACTGCTGCAAGTTTTAACATTAACTATGGTTAGCTCTAAAAATTAGGAGGGGATAAACATGAGGTTCTCCTTATTAGCCTACCTATGGTTAGGAGAGCACAGAACATTAGGTTTGCTTCAATCTATGGAAGTGTCAGTGTACATTTACAAACTTTACATTTAGATTTGAGTCCAGCAGCACCTTAAAAATCAACAAGATTTTTTTTGGGGGGGAGTATAAGCTTTCAAGAGTCAGAGTAGTGTGAGCTAGCTCAAAACTTTGCAGGGTATTGGTGATGTCTGTCAATATCTACAGTAATCACAAAACTTAACCACATGTTCTATGCAAGGGAAAATAAACCTGCCCCTCACACCCCAGAAGCCTGGTTTTAAGACTGAACATACACATAAGATGCTTTTGGCAAAAACAAAATCCAGTTAGCACAACATCGAACTCTGAATGTCCACAGATTTGTTCATCAGTAGTTGGCTATTCTCAAATGATTTTAGCAATAAAAAATGTATGTATTTATGCTTACCAAACACTATTGCTTTAGCAAAAGGAGGAAACAATTCTGTATGCCTGAATAAGTGTTTATGAATCTGCCAGAGTTCTTTGTGCAATTTCTTAAAGTCACTGTATCTCTTCCAAACGACTATCTGAAGCAAAAACAGAAAACAAAAAACACCCATGAGGCAATTATTCCTGCTAATTGAGTATTTACAAAAGTATAGCAGAAACCAACACAGTAGTATGTTAAAGGTGTCCAATGAGACTTATAAAAATCCCCATAAAATCTTTAGGTCAAGCTATTTTTAAAAACCTAAACATTGACGTTAACCACTTTCTTTTTCAACCCTTAATGTTCTCCTGAAGGATAATTAATGTACTAAGCAAAGTTATTATCCAGTAATAGTCTACAAACTACATAAGCCACCAGTTTTGTACTTTATCCAATGTAGCCATTGCCCTAGTTTCAAGCACATGAACCAGCTTAAATTCTTCATTTCTGGCTCATGCATCCAGCATGTACGTAAAGGAGGCTGTAGAACAACCATCAAGTGACAAGAGATATAACAAATGTTAGCATTCTGAGCTTTTTTTCCTGATTTTTCAAAGAAGCAATTCCCACTTTTTTTGGCCATGAAAAAGCTGAACATAGTGAGCACAGCACAGGATGAAATCAAAGGGGCACATCACACAATTGACACATGTAAATCAGTGTTCCCTCTAAGCTGAGTTAGTGTGAGCTAGCTCACAGTTTTTTAGCCTCTGGCTCACACATTTTTGTCTTGGCTCAGGAAGGATGGCTCCAGAGCAAACTAATTTATGCAGCAGCCCAATCGCTCGCTCACAACTTTAATGCTAGTCACTCACAAAGTGGAATTTTTGCACACAAGACTCTGCAGCTTAGAGGGAACATTGATGTAAATCCTTACATACAGTATACAATCTTCATCTTAGCTCATATGTGTGGGCAAGACTTGGACAAACTTAAGAAGATTTCTGGCTGGCAATTGTGTGAATCAGGCCTAAAAGCAGTGTCCACACAAGTCCTGTGTGCCACATTTTACCATTTTCAATCACTGTCCTGCAAATAATACTTTTAACAATTTCATATTCATATGGACTTCAATTTCTTTCCAAAAAGAAGCATCGCATAATTACACCAAAAGACTCTGCAATTGATTTAGATGCAGTTGCCTTTTGAGACTGTGAAGTGATTGGCTTTTTTAAAAAGTAGATAAAATTACCAACTGCAGTCGTGAGAAGAGTTATACCTTTTTTAAGCCCATTGACCTCAACTGTGTTTAAGATCGCAGTGTGAGTGGGAAAAGTATCCATAAACACAGGCACTGCCATTTACCAAAAAAGTTGTAATTCTTATACTAAAGGAAGAAAAAGATGCCAATCACGGCAAAGAGAACCAGAGCAAGCCTTCAATCCAGACCGACCATTGTAAATTTTGTGCCATTTTAAAGCTTAGTTTCTTAGCCTGTAGTGAAGAATTGCCTCCAGAGCAACCAGGCAGGGAAGATCAAGTGATGCTCTGTATTCTTGGTGGGGGTCAATAGTGGGAGGGCTCCTAGTGTCCTGGCCCTGCCGCTGGACCTCCTGATGTCACTTGGTATTTTTGGCCACTGTGTGACAGAGTGTTGGACTGGATGGGCCATTGGCCTGATCCAACATTGGCTTCTCTTATATTCTTATTCACAGAGGCTGGTTCTTTTAGGCCACAAATGTTTAACACCGATACGTGTGAGCAGACCAGCTAGTAGACACCTTCTAGGCTGGTAACTTTTACAGACTTATTGTCAAGACTGCATTAATAAAACATCAGCTTTTCAGTGACGGGGGCAAAAAACAAAAAGCAAATGGCTAACCAGGCTCAAAAGTTGGCAAGTAGTTGGACTGAGCCTGTGATCAGGGGCAGACTGTGTAGGACAGGCATTGGGGGGGGGGGGACAGAAGCAAGACTGGCGGCATTCACAGAGTGAGGGACTCAGTGGCCTGCCCATCTCTTTGCCTTTCTCTAATGGTTACTCCTCCTCCAGCAACTTCAGTCTTTCCTTTCTTAAAGTCTCCAAAAAGTTGGGTTTGGAACAACAAAACAAATATGCCACATAAGCTAAGACACACAGAATGCGCACAATTGTTTTCCTGTTGTTCTGAGAACGTGACTGACCTTGGTGAATAATTTCAATTGCTTTCTTAACATACTACACACACAGCTCCAACTATAAGGAAAGGTGACTGCAGCACAGTGCACACAACAGCCTCACATGTTCACTGAACACATGAGGAGGGAGAGTAGAAGCAAGCACTCTGCCTCTGCACAATCGCCTCGTCATCTTCAATGAACATGGGGGGGCTATCGTATTCACCAAGCTTGTATAACAAGCCAAATTATATCAACACAACTGTACTAGCTGATTTTCCTCATCTCCACATTTTCAGCATCAACTATTCCATACAAACAAATGGCAGAATCTTTTCTGGCAGGGAACAAACTTCAAACTGCACTTCGCATCTGGCCCAAAGTGTATTTTTATTTATGAACTTTAGTTGTTCAAAGTATGGCCAATATGTTTTTGTGAGTAATATCTAATTTGAGCAACTGTTCGTGAGCAAGAAACACTAACAACAATAAATGGAATGATTCTTTAACCAAAACCAGAATGGGTTTGGTTTGTTTCCAATTACTTTTGAGGGAGGGGGAATCCCAATGGCATGGAGCAAAATCTTTCTGTTTAGAATCACATCTGCATAGTTTGTGACCCACCAAGACAAACACAACTTATTAAGCATGTAATGCAGGCTACCAAGTGGACAACAGACCTCCTCACTTTACTACCAGCCCAGGATGGCAAAAACCAGGGAGGTCTTGCTAAGCTACTGTATACTGGTGGTCTTTGTTCAGCTTGCTGGGTCACAAAAATGGCACAGACCTGGAGTACCGAAAAGAAAGAATAGGATCTATTCTGCTGCCCAGTACTCAACTATTCAATGGCATTTAGGAAGGAATAATGGAGATGGAGTGGAAAAGACAAAAACACAGGGAGACAAAATTAATGGGAGAGGTATGTCTAGACTTTCAGCCTATTTATGAGATGAGTGAACAACAGCAGTGATCTTAGGACACGGATTTTAAATGAAAAGTTTTTACTTGTACTAAGATTCAGTTTCTTCAAATAGAAGCACCAACAAATAGAGGTGCCAGACGTATATAAGCCTGCAAAACAAATCCGCTACTAAATATACTATTCCTGGTTATTTGAGATTCAGATTTTTCAAATAGAAGCACCAACAAATAGAGGCGCCAGACGTATATAAGCTTGCAAAACAAATCTGCTACTAAATATACTATTCCTGGTTATTTGCAGCCTAGTTCATAAAAAATCACGACAACAGTCTTCGGCCACCAAGATGTAAACTACTTCCAGCGAATCAACTACAAGATTGACTTCTTCCATTAAGAAGGAAATTCTGTTTCTTTCTTTTTGCTAGAGCTGTGGAAGAACAGAGCCCTAAAAGCTTAGCAGAAAGAGGAGAAGGACATGTGAGCGTGGGAACATCCTGATCAGAGGAGCATATGAACACCCTAATTTCCTCCAGTACTTAGCAGAGTGTTACTTTCTGCCTTTCAGCAGGTGTCTGTGTTGTCCAAAACAAAAGCATGTCCCAAAAGACATGTTCAGACACTACTTCAGTCATGTAAGTGAAGAGATCCCACGCTATTTGAATCCCATACTATGTGCAATAGAACCAGATCTCAGAAGCTAAGCAGGGTTCTGGATGGGAAACCACCAAGAAATTCCAGGGTCGCTAAGGGAGGCAATGATAAACCATCTCTGGCCCCTGCCACACGGGGGGAAATTGATGCGGCCAAAGTGCGGCTTTTAAAAGCCACACCAAAAGAGACACGCGGCGG